TTGAGATTAGATAAAATCTTTACTTTTTTTATATATATATATATATATAAATATATATTACTTAGCTTAAATACATGTAAAATATAATTTATAACACAGTACAGACGGCTTGATAACTTGGGCACGTGATCTAATTTCTTTACGCCCCCTGGTGGCTCAGCGGTAAGTATGAGGGCTTATAATTCTAAAAACTGGGTTTCGGTACCCGCGGTGGTAAGAGTACAGGTAGCCCATTGTGAAGATTTGTGCTTTTAATCAAAGAAACAAATGTTTTCTTTAATTTTTTGCTCTAATCTAAATACAGTCCGAGGAGAACCTACAAACATCTTTACTTTTTTGCTCTAATCTCAGTATAATTCGAGGAGAACCTACAAAATCTTTACTTTTTGCTCTAATCTCAATACAGTCCGAGGAGAACCTACAAACATCTTTACGTTTTGCTCTAATCTCTGTACAGTCCGAGGAGAACCTACCACATGTGCGCATACAACCAGTGCATTCAAAACTCCTTAACCGCACCCATGTATTTACAAACCATGTTTAAAGCTGCCCCAGATATCATCATTTTGCACAATTTTTGGTGAAAACTTCAAAATATTTCCTTATTATATGCCCCCGGATCACCAGTGTAGTTCCGCCACTCATTTCCTTTTTCCCCCAAAGTAATCCCCACTTTATATCATAGGTTTCTGCCTACGCCCCTATAATATAAGTATAAACTTTACTTAAGGATAACCATATACACACAACCCTGAAATTGTCTGTTGTGCTGTTACTGTTTATACTGCTGTCGTGAGCAATATTTTGTTGCAAAAGACCAGCGCCATCTGGAGTGTATAGTCTCATACTGAAGTGGAACTAAAAAGAAAACAAGCCTGATCGTATTAAAACGACAGTCGTTTAACAACTTTGTATTTATAAAGAAAAACTCCTCACAGCAACGTGGTGTTGAAACTAATCAGATAACTTGTACTTGTCACGCTTCCAGCTCCACGGCCTAATCAGTCATTTGGCACTTTTCCCCTTGTTGAGTGCCTTATCCAAACACCAACACTGACAGGTCTGATAATCAAAAGAACGTATCGAGCACCTCATCTACAGAATGCCTGGGTTGACAAACAAACGTCACGTAGGTGATTCTTGACAAACTTATACACAAAGATATACGGGAGTTTGTGATAACTACAATTTTACATAACATTTTCTTACCGACTTATTGTTATAACGTTCACTACTGTTTGTGATAACTACAATGCTACATAGCAAACACGTTAACCCTAAATTTGCCGAATTATTGTTATAACGTTCACTATCTATACGCGTATTTGTGATAACTAAAATTTGACATAAGAAACAGGTTCACCCTAAATTTACCGACTTACTGTTATAACGTTCACTACTGTTTGTGATAACTACAATGCTACATAGCAAACACGTTAACCCTAAATTTGCCGAATTATTGTTATAACGTTCCCAACAGTATACTCCATGTATGAGTGATTTGATGTTTTTATCTGTAACAACCCTCGGTTTATAGAACTGACCACAAAAAAGTGGGCTAAATCGCTCACTCGCTGTGTGAAATATATAAACAACCCATTTATAGAATACTGGTGTTTTTGTTGGTTTGGTTGGTTTTTTTTTGGTGAGGTTCTTACGTTATTAAGGATCCTGTAACCAACAAGGCCATTACGCAACTAATAATATACATAAATAGTTTTCAAAAACGTGTTTTAAAAGTTGATGTGGGTTGGTAATTCTAGGATTAAAATGGTCGCGATAATGAAAAATTATATAAGGCCCAACCCTAATAACTAAGAGGTGTTAATATAAACAAACGCACCAAAGCATCGTCTTTTGCGTTTTTTTTTATCTTATTAATTAAGCAGAAAACCTAAAGTAATTATATACAAAAACAGTTGGCGAATAAAACTGCTTGGTGACTAAGTACACTACAGACCCTGCAGGTTTGATAATAAGTCATCTATCAGGTATTTCTTGTAATAATGATATCTTAGCCTCGGACAGGGCGTGGCCTAGCGCGCCTGTACTGTGGTTTCGAGGATCCATGGTTCGTGACCCATTGCCACCAAAACGCACTTTGCAGTTCGGAGTCATGAGTGCGTTATAAGAGTGACGGATAGATCCATATTTGATCAGATAATAGTAGTCTAAGAGTTGGCGGTGGGTGCTGTTGATTAGCTTCTTTCCCTCTAATAAGTATATCAGTTCAAAGTTAATGACGGCTATGCGATATTCTGAAACAGCTTGTTCTAGGACTGTGTACAGTGCTTTAAATTTTGATCAACGTAGGCAAGTTAACAGTAAAACTTAACTCCGAGTCAAGAGTTGTCTTCTTGAAATAAGAAAAAGTGATTCTATTGAAATCAGAGATACACGTATAACCTAATTTTAACTCTCACTGAATAAAACGCTTTTTTCTGACCTAAATTTACTTCTCCCAGTGAAGCCTGAAAGCTGAAAACACTAAAATTTTGGGTTCGATCCTTGTGGTAAGCAAAGCACGATAGTTCATTGTAAAATTTATTTAAAAAGGCATACGTATTGTCAGTTTCCTCTATTAAGCCTTTAAAATAGCACTTCTGTGTCTCAATGGAAAGATTGAGGGCCCTATAAAGCTAAAATTCGGGGTTTGATCCCATTATGCAACTTTGCGCTTAAGGTAGCATATACCCTTTACGTAGTGTTATCTAGGTTTTGGCCTTTTCTTCAGAAAAAAAAATATCATATTCATACTATGTTTTTTGCATAAAAATATATTCAAACAGATACAGACACATTCTGGCACCATGTTGTGTAATATTACCACTGTGGCTAATTTGTATATTATAAAAATAAAGAAATACAAAAGAAATGTTTATGTTCATGATAACTTCTACAAACATAACTGAATTCTCCTGAAAATGGGTCCAGACTTTGATGGGATGTGAAGATATTTTTTGACATTTAAAGGGTATATACTACCTTAAGTTAACTAACTGACCTACATCCAGACACATTGTGATATTGCTGTATGCTTTACTGCATAAAATTATACGGCCTGACCAGATTTTATGGGTGGTCTGTAATATTGCAATAACAACTAACATAAACAGATTAAATGGATGGGAAGTGGTTCCTAACCGCTGGTCCACAGCAGATAAATATAAAACGAAATTAATATATCTTGTGGAGTATTCAATTCTGATATATAAAATTGATTTAGTGTGGAGGTGTAATGTTATTGAACTACTGACACGTTTAGAATAATGCTTTTTTAAGCCTTCATGCTACTGTACTGATTGTACATTACCGAACAGACAATATGCAAAATACACAATCGTGTACAATAATTGAGATATCTTGGGTATTTTATAGATCACGTATTATCCCTAGCAAGATTTTTCTTCGTTTTATTTTTTTGCACATCTGGTCAAACTCTCTTTTCTGTTTCTTGAAGCGTAAATCACGACGAGAAGAAATATTCACTCTGCTTAGTCTCACCCTCTCACAGCGCGTGCTTGGCACGAGCACCTGGACCCCATTCTTCGCCAGCGACGAGTTGATATCCAAATATAATAACACGTTAATTAGAAATTAAACTTCAGAACAATTATTAACAAAAATAAATTCTTCCTTATACAGCTGTATAACTTGTTCTCTGCATGATCATAAACTTACAGTCATGGTTACACATATTCTAGTGGTCCATCTTTTTCAGTCCACCCCTATTCTTTGTAAATGCAATATCACAAGAAAAGTTAACGTCAACAACACCAACAAATAAGTTTCAGAATTTTGAAAGATGAGAGTGGCATATTTTGCAAATGAATGATCAATCAAAAATTAAACCATTAGATCAGTTACCAATAGAATCTCGTAAAGAATTACAATAAATTATATATTTCACAAATGTGTAAAATGTTTTGTTCTGACGCATCAAGTGAGTATGAATAGAGTTAATCTCAAAATTTCATCAACGGAACCAACGAGTTTAACATTTTCTGTAAATACTTTTAAAGTACAATTACTGTAAACTCTCAGGTTTTTCGCTTAAAATTACGAAGAATTGATTAGTTTCATGCTATTTTTCCCCTCGTAAGTGTCCCTCTAACGGGCTAGAAGCAAGACAGCTAGTGAATAGCACCCATTTTCAACTCTTTGGCTACTTTATAGAGGAACTTGACTGTCACTCTTATAGCGCACTAATTGCCCCAAAGTGCAGAGCAGCGGGACATGAACCGTGAATCTTCGAATTCACACTCCAAGCACACTAAACATTCGGCAACGTCCGGCCCCTTTGTCATAGTGTGGAACAGAACTGGAATTGAAAATTGAAAACAAACCGAATGCTTCGCAAATTATTATTATTCTGTACACAACATCTACCTAGGACAACGCAATCATTTTTTTTAAACAAAACACGTCCACGCCCGTGTTTAGGTTAGGTCCCGTCAAAAATGATGGATCACTGAAAAAGTTTTTTTTTTTTAACAGAGTAGCTTCAGTGCCTTACGGGCAAAGAAAGGCGTTGCACGTTCACCTAATGAGACACACGCATGAACAAGATAGAGAGGGTGAGGGGGACAACATCCTTGAAATACCACAAATTTTAAAATCATTATTTATCTACGTGAGAGAGAGAGAGAAGCCAGGACAATTCATTGATAAAATATTGATTTAGAAAGGCAATATTGATGCTCAACAGAAGAATGGACATTTTTGTTTTCTTATATACCGCAAGTGGATCTGGATTTCACGTGGACCACGCGTCTCTGTCTCTCTCTTCCATTACTACAATATTTGTTGATGTTTTTATATGTTAGTAGATAAAAGCACTAAAACCTGTCTCGAGACTTATTTTGAGCGATTTTCCCTTTTTCTATAGAATATAATGCTGCAGTTCAAGGGGGATAATGGGATTTTGCTTCTCACGTGATGGGCTGACATCTTCGTCCCGGTCCTCGTCAAGCTGGGTAAGTGCCGGTAATATGATTCATCTTCTTTACTATTGCCTGTCTATATTTAGACAGGCCGAGCATGACGGGGCAGATTACTTGCAGGAAACGTTCAGACACGGGCTCATCTCATGCAAACTAAACCCCCTTAACGACTGCCTCTTTAGAAGCATTACTGAAAAAGCAGTTCAAAAACCGTATAAACAACAGAATGGGTGTGATCAACTTACGCACACAAGAAAAACAAACGTTTTGATATTTTTTTCTGTTTTTTTTAGCTAGTAGTTCCATGCAACTCTTTAGTCACAAACGTTATAACACGAATATTCGAGATAAACCAAGGTGTCCGGAAGTAATGTTAATACGTTCTTTTCTGGTGTTTCAAAAACGTTTAGAAATAAATGTTAATAAGGTTTTTTAACATAGTCGTACGAGGCTGGCGGGGGGGGGGCAGCCCTCCTCCCTAGCTTGCAATAAATATGGCCATTCGGTCAAATGGTGGCAGAATATTCTTACTCATAAACCTTTCCCCGTACGCCCATGGTTGTTAACATGATTTCTAAACGCCCTGTATTTTTTTACGTATATAAACTGGCTTTGATAGATGTTATCAATCAAGTTTTCATAATTATGAATTTAAGCAGGCCGTCAAAAATCAAAGATACGTCAAACAAGTTTTTTCAAAAACGTGTGACACATATCCATCAAGGGGATGTGACACAGAAACACCACTTCTTTAGCGAAAGATGCAGAACCGAAACGCTGGTAACTACAGCTCCAAATATATATTTTATGCCAAAAAATAAAATTCAGTTCCCTTATTTCTATTACAATAATTTCGTTTCAACCACATCGTTAAAAAAAAAAATGGTATACACATAGATATTTCCTCGTTCGTGAATTATCAACAAGCGAGCTTCTCGGCCATTGTAGGATGATTAGCCGTATTTAATCTTTCAACAAAGGACCAGATGTTTAGAGGTCACCATGGTGACCGATCCCCGAATATAGCTCCTGATTAGGAGCATGCTGTGTGTGTGTGTGTGTGGGTTAGACTGCGTAAATAAACACTTACTCCAGCAAAGGCTAATGGAGGCCTTATGCCAGCGGGGAAAAAGTTCGACGAACATTTTCTAATAAAGCAGATGGTATAAATATATAATACATTGGGTATACAAAAGAATAAAACTATTCTCTTCATTAGTTAGAGTTCTATATAAACTTCAGTAGCACGGTTTGGATAGCATGGACTTCCTGTAAGCAAGCCATTTGTTTTTATTATAAGACTTTTTCGGACAACAGCGGTTGTTTAGCATACTAAAATAATTACTCATATACTGAAGCAAGGTAAATTTGAGCAAACACCTTCAGAGATACAGCAGCCATTAAAAGTTAGGACTAATTTTCATTTTTCAAGAACTCCTTGAAATGTTGAAACTATGATAATAGTTTGTTGTTGTTTTTTATCATGAACTTTTTGCGGTTGTTTGATACACTTTTATACATTAAAACATGTACTCAAAATTTTAAACATAGTCAATTTAGGCAAACACCTTTGCAGATGCGACAACCATTACAACTTAGGCCTAACTTTCATTTCTCAATATCTTCTTATTTGTTTTTACTATAACTTAATTTGAAATGTTGCAATTATGATTATAGTTTGTTTTTGTTACGAACTTTTTGACGGTTGTTTGATACACAGCTATACATTAAAATAAGCGTTTAAATACTCAAATACAGTCACTTGAGGCAAACACCTTTAGAGATACAGCACCCATTAAAAGTTAGGCCTAACATTAATTTTTCAAAAACTCTTCTAAGTTTCATGCCATTCTTATCATACCATGGGTCTTATGCTGAAATTGAATATAATAATATTAAATCTTATTTTTGAGGGTTGATTAAAAGTGAGTATTTGGTTTGTTTGTTTGTTTTTTACTTTTTTAATGAACTTTTTATTCATAAAATTTTAAAATACAAATAAAATAACAGTGTATGTCATATTTGCAATTCAATAAAAAATAAAAACTCTTTACTATTAACAAGCATGCGGCATAATACTTAATATGAACCCTAACGTTGTGTATGTTAAGTATCTTAACATTTTCCAAACAACTATAATATTACGAGCATGAGACATGATACTTAATGTGAACCCTAACATTGTGCATGCTAAGTATCTTAAGATGTTAAAAACAACTATAATATTAATGAGCATGCGGCTTAATGAGAACCCTAACATTGTGTATGTTAAAATGTTCCAACAACTATAATATTAATAAACAAGCGACATGATACCGTAACATTGTGTATGTTAAGAATTTTGAATGTGATAGGACAAAAGATTAAATAATATTCATGTGTTTTGTAAATTTATTCTTTGAAGTACATAACATGAGCTTACAAAATATGATAGAACATATAAAATAACTCGCTGTTCCTGATACAGCCATGTTTTTTTAGGTATTTGTTTAAAATAATATTTTCCCTGGATTCGCAGTAATGATATGTCGGGGAAGTTTTACGATTTAAATCAACATTTTTCAAAACATTTCCCCTTTTTTTTACGTCAAGATAAAACGCTCGTTTCATGATTTTATGTGATCGAACATAATTTAGGAACGACAGTATTTTCCTTAAATTTATTAATGATTTAATGACAAAAAATACAAAATCCTTTAACACGAGCGTTTTCGAAAGATGGACCTTTTTCCCCAGTTTTTCCTTGATGAAGAAAGATCCACTTTCAAAACCGCTTGGGTTGTAAGGTTTTGTATTTTTGTCTTGAATTAATGTTGAACCTACATGTTTTCCCGTAATCGTTATTGATTTAATGTAGCCCGCCATTAACGTTATTACATGGTTATTAACCAATGTTGTTTTAAAAATAAATAGTACAATATAAGCCAACAGTGTTGTTTAAAAATAAAAAGTACAATGTAACCCAATTGTGTTGTTTAAGTCCAATTATAACACTGGGCTGTAGTTAGGAACAGAATACATGGTCAGTGAATCTTTATTTCAGCAGATCTTGGTCAACATTACCACTGGTCAGTCGCTCAGGTTTCCTTACCAGAGTCAGATCTAGTGGTTATCAATAGAAGTGTTATGGTTCAATTAGCGAGGGCGTTACGTTCATTAAGCTACTTAATCTCCCTTCTAAACATTCCTAGCGGGATGGCATTCCATTGCGGACCAGAACAAAATAGCCAAGGGCAGTCATGTGTGGGGTGTAAGCTACGACCAAACAGTTCCTCCACCCCCTTTCACACCTCAACCCTCTCCCCTTCCCTGTCTTCGTCAGCAAAATCCGTAGACAACAGACGTCTTAGAATTAAGAAATAGACCTGGAGCTCTACTTACCCCTGCGGTCAATACCTTTATCGACCTGTGAAAGGTGTGAGAACATGCACGTGGAAGGGGGGTATTCGTATTGTTAGCTTTCAGTTGTGGATAATGCTGAGATATAAACAATGTATAAAAATACTCATTAAGGGTGCTTTTACACTCAAAACGTGGCATAAGGCTATAACCAAAACTTGCCAAATATATATATATATATTAAGATGAGAAAATCTCTTTAGCTTATAAAGGGAATATATATTGAAATAGCATGCACACTAAGTCCACCTACATTGTTCGTCAACAAGATATTTTATTGCAAGTATTTAAAAATTTGTAGTATATACTGGAGGGATTTAGACATTTTGGCAATAAAGTTAAGAGAAAATAACGTTTACTCTCCAGATGATAATAATAAATTTTCAGTGACGCCATTCCAACAAAATCTTGGGAGGGGAGGGGGGCAAAGTTGAGCCCTAATTTCTACGTGAAACTGTTGATAACGTTTCGAAGTTCATACATCGACTGTAATAACTAACTTCGTAAGAGCCAAAATGTTATGAGAAGTAAACAAAACTTAACAGCAAACAGAAAACTTCGACATTGTATTTGTTAATATCAGTAACTTTCCACAAACATATCCCATTAACCAAGCATTTTATATTTCTCAAAATAAAAAAGGAGGGGTTTGGGTGGGACAGCTCCCCTCCCCCAGTTGGCGCCACTGTTTTTATTTCATTGCGGCTTCGTGGCGAAAAGTTGGCTGAAATAAAGGTCGTTTTTATCTAAAGTTATTAGAATATTGTTTTCAAGTTTTCATATTACTTTCAAACTGATTTGATGTAACAATAAGTTCAGTACAATTGAACACGGCATTAGTAGCAGCACTGGCGTACTCAGGAAATTGTTGATAAAACAACACAAAAGGTGGAAACTTTCTATTTGTTGACAGTGCTAAACGTCACTTCCTGTCTATTCTCATACACAGACCCCACAACTCTTATAGAAATATGGTAAATACTTGAACTTACCAATACCCCTCCCCCCCCCCAAAAAAAACGAAATCTCACGGACTACATGACTCAATCCTACGCTAAGATTACAAAATACAGCAAGAAATGGTTTTAATGGATAAATTCCAGCCACTTTACGGAGAGACTTTAGAGGCACTAGCTTCATGTACAACAAATCATTTTATTCATCAGTTATTTAGATTTGTTTGTTTGTATAGCGCGAAGGAGAATCTGTAGACGTGACTTTCTCAGGCCATCTTTTTCTTTATTAATATTAGGAGCTTCCGCTAATCAGCGCTTCTGGCTTTCTTCTAAGATAGTTATCGCTTCGTGACGTTTTTTTCTACGTAACATGGTCTCTCAAATATACACTATTTTAAAAATATTATTATAGTTGATATATGATGCTGCGTAGTATGTACAACTGTTGGCCTATTAACGTGAAACGCTGGGATCGACACCCCTGTTAAGTTTTTGTCTGAGATTTTCTAGGAATTAAGCATTTTAGGCTTAACGACCGCCACCCTGCGGTTAGCTAAGGATTTACCTTAATCTTTCTATTCTGTTTCAGATATTCCTTCTAGTACTATGATCCGATGAGTGACAGTCTTCGGAGGAAAGTGATTGGTTCGTTGACTGTGACGTCAGCAGAAGCTGGGAGTCAAGTTGTGACGAAGTGTGTGAAGTGGTGTAGAGGAGTGCCGAAGTTCACAAAACGTACAAGTTATCGGTAGTGACGGTTGTTTAGCAACTACTAGTGGTTGAATTAAAAGTTGAAACAGTCATGCTGGAAAGTCTTATAGAAGCTTCTATTAGTTCGAGTTACGAGTGTCATATCCAGAGGTAGTTACGAGTGTCATATCCAGAGGTAGTTACGAGTGTCATATACAGAAGTAGTTACGTGTGTCATATCCAGAAATAGTTACGAGTGTCATATCCAGAAGTAGTTACGAGTGTCATATCCAGAGGAAGTTACGAGTGCCATATACAGAAGTAGTTACGTGTGTCCTATCCAGAAGTAGTTACGAGTGTCATATCCAGAGAAAGTTACGAGTGCCATTATCCAGAAGTAGTTACGTGTGCCATATCCAGAAGTAGTTACGAGTGTCATATCCAGAGATATTCACGAGTGTCATATCCAGAGGAAGTTACGAGTGCCATATACAGAAGTAGTTACGTGTGCCATATCCAGAAGTTTTCTCCAGCTGATTTTTGACCTCTGCTTGTGTTCAGTTAGTCAAAATATCGTTATGACAACGAATATAGACGTAGGAACGAGACTGTCTGTTATAGTGTGGGCCAGCACGTGTAGTTCGGCGAAGAGGCGTTCCTTAGCCGTTCCAGTACCTATAATAGGCTGCACCTTAGCGCGAGTTATAACCTACCTTTCACTGGAACTTTTGTTACTTGTTACCGTAGCAACTGGAAAGGTAGGTGGACGCCACCAAAAATGCGAGGAGATAACTATTCCAATGTGTACCGACATCGGTTACAACTTCACCTCCATGCCCAATTCTTTCCACCACGAAACCCAAGAGGAAGCAGGGTTACAGGTTCATCAATTTTGGCCTCTTGTGAAAATCCAATGTTCGGATGACCTCCAGTTCTTCCTCTGCTCCATGCATACGCCAATATGCATGAAAGATTATTCTAAACCCATTCCGCCTTGTCGATCTGTGTGTGAGCGGGCACGAGCTGGTTGTGAACCTCTTATGATGAACTATGGTTTCACTTGGCCAGAAACAATGAAGTGTGATGACCTACCGAACTATGGTGACCCCAACAGAATGTGCATGGACCGTAACGAAGGTCAAAAACCAAACCGTTCTACGAGTTATATAAACATAAATAAGAATAGGTTCCCCGAAAAAAAGAGTCCGAAATTCATAGTGCCAAAAGGAACAAAAAATGGTGGTTATCCCCGTCTGACAAGAATTCAAGAAAAAGATTGTCGGTGCTTTTGTCGAGATCCCATGATCACCTTGGTAGCCACGGGGAGTTATGGTCACTTTAATTCTGTGGAGACCGGAAGTGTATTGAACTGTGCTGTCCCATGTTACGGTCCCTTCTTCTCCGCGGACGAACACACTTTCGCTACGCTGTGGCTCGGACTGTGGGCAGTGCTGTGCTGTGTGTCAACTAGCTTGACCGTTATCACCTTCCTGATCGACATGCAGAGGTTTCGCTACCCAGAACGCCCTATCATCTTTCTGTCCGGCTGCTACCTGATGGTGTCCGTCGGTTATCTGGTCCGGCTAGGGATGGGACATGCAGAGCTAGCCTGTGATGGACCAATCATCCGGTATCAGGATTCGGAACGACCCCCAGCATGCACCATCGTCTTCTTGATGATTTACTTCTTCGGTATGGCCAGTTCTCTTTGGTGGGTTATCTTAGCCCTAACGTGGCTTCTAGCAGCTGGACTGAAGTGGGGGAACGAGGCTATTGCTGGATACTCGTTGTATTTTCATTTATTAGCCTGGTCAGTACCAACCGTCAAAACTATCGCCATCTTAGCCGTGGATGGAGTGGATGGGGACCCGGTGGCAGGCATCTGTTACGTAGGAAACCAGGACTTGTCTCTTCTGCGGGGGTTTGTACTAGCCCCTCTATGTGTCTATCTTCTTCTGGGAACGTCCTTCCTCCTAACGGGATTTGTGGCTCTCTTTCGGATAAGGAATGTCATCCGACAGCAAGCTCGCGCCAAGGTGGAAAAGCTGGAGAAGCTAATGATCCGGATTGGAGTCTTCTCTGTGCTGTATACGGTACCAGCCACCATCGTCATCGGTTGTTACATCTACGAGCAACACTTCCGGGAGGCTTGGGAGAGAAGGCACAACTGCCCCTGCAGTGACCCGGCTGTACGACCCGACTACTCCGTGTTCATGCTCAAGTACTTTATGTGTCTGGTGGTCGGGATCACTTCTGGATTCTGGATCTGGTCCGGGAAGACTGTTGATTCCTGGCGGAGATTTTATGGGCGACTGTGTGGAAGTAAAGACCGTGATTTAGATAGGACGTGTAAACCGATACATAGGGTAAACGGTATTGAAAAGTTTCCGCCTCGCTCTAAACAGATGCTTACCCAAGTGTAAAAACGGTATTGAAAAGTTTCCGCCTCGCTCTAAACAGATGCTTACCCAAGTGTAAAAACGGTATTGAAAAGTTTCCGCCTCGCTGTAAACAGGTGCTTACCCAAGTGTAAAAACGGTATTGAAAAGTTTCTGCCTCACTGTAAACAGGTGCTTACCCAAGTGTAAAAACAGTATTGAAAAGTTTCCGCCTCGCTGTAAACAGATGCTTACCCAAGTGTAAAAACGGTATTGAAAAGTTTCCGCCTCGCTGTAAACAGGTGCTTCCCCAAGTGTAAAAAGTGTATATAAATACGTGTGTATATAATATGTGTGAGACAATATAACATTTAAAGAGATGAGTTGCACACATATCATGTGCAGAAAGTTCATAACGGAACAGTGTGCTGCAAATCGTGTAACAGACTAGAAGTCATCATTTTAATTTTTAGAAACGTATTGTTTGTACGAAGTTTTCATTGATCGAATAATTATTTGCTGTACAGTTTGTTTTATCACAACTCTGTAAATGATTCATATATAAGACACAACTAAAGTATCTTTACTAAACACTTTTCTTTTGTTTGAGTAGTGTCGATTTCCCAGACAAACCAAAGCCTCCATTAGCATTTACTTTAATTTTTTCATATTTTCTATATTGTTTGATTTTTACAAAAGTGCTTAAAAAGAAGTTAATTAGTTAGTTAGTATCACTGAAGTTTTTTTGTCTTCAGAGTAAAACGAAATAAACTGCAGATGATGAAAATCACGCTAACTCCTTTACATATATATATATATCACTTTGTTTTAGAGCAAAGCCACTTGTGTCCAACGTGGGGAATCGAACCCTGGATTTTAGCGTGGTGAGTCAATAAACGTATCCTGTCCCACCGGGGGACCTTTCACATGGTGATTAGTACATGTGTTAAATATTAGGTCTGAATAACTTGTAAAAAATAGACGTTCTATCTCAGAAGAAAAGACTAAAATATATACATGTTACAAAACATGATTTAACAATAACATAAGCTCGTAACAAGTTTCATTAAACATATAAACAATTCTTTTTCTACACGTTAGGCCTACGTTAACGAATGTTGTAACTGACAACTGACTACAAAGCTTGCGCCCAATGAACCTTAGTCTATATGCTCGTCTATTCTATTAAAGAAAGTTAAAATAATTGTATGTTGACATCATATAACAGGTAGGCATGATTAATTTGTTCATTTGGTGTTAGAACATAAATTTGTTAAATGAAACGTAGTGATCAGAAAATAAGTATCTCTTATCTGATCTGAGAAAGCTGAAAAAGATCCTCATCTTTCTCAGAGGAAAATATTGTCTATGGTAAAACGTTTTACATTCCGAGCCAACTTTCTTTTTATCAGAGGAAAATATTGTCTATGGTAAAACGTTTTACATTCCGAGCCAACTTTCTTTTTATCAGAGGAAAATATTGTCTATGGTAAAACGTTTTACATTCCGAGCCAACTTTCTTTTTATCAGAAGAAAAGCATCACTGGTTTTGGTTTCAGAGGAAAACATAGTATGATATAGAGAAATAATGTTATTGAATAGATTATGAAAACACGAAAATACATTTTCTATTTCTAATACTTCTGGGTTTGTTGCTTGGTTTTACTCCATTTATATAACATCGTAATAACTGGAGTTACAGAAATATCGAATATTGTAAACTTATCGACAAAAATACCGAAACTTAGTTGAGAAATTTCGACAACTTTTCTGGTCAGAAGTTCTGCAAGTTGAATGTCTCAGATTTGAGATGAAAAATATCATATAAATAACTCTTATCTGAGATGAAAAAGGTCATATAATTAACACTCGTCTGAGCTGAAAACGATCATGTAATTAACTCTTATCTGAGTTAAGAAAGGTCATATACCTAACTCTTATCTGAGCTGACAAAGGTTATATAACTAATTACTATCTGAGCTGAGAAGGATTATATGATTAACACTCGTCAGATTTGAGATGAAAATATCATATAAATAACTCTTATCTGAGATGAAAAAGGTCATATAACTAACACTCGTCTGAGCTAAAAACGATCATGTAATTAACTCTTATCTGAGTTAAGAAAGGTCATATACCTAACTCTTATCTGAGCTGAGAAAGATCATATCAAGATCAACACTCATCTGAGCTGAGAAAAGTCATATAAATAACTCTTATCTGAGATGAAAAAGGTCATATAACTAACACTCGTCTGAGCTGAAAACGATCATGTAATTAACTCTTATCTGAGTTAAGAAAGGTCATACACCTAACTCTTATCTGAGCTGAGAAAGATCATATCAAGATCAACACTCATCTGAGCTGAGAAAAGTCATATAAATAACTTTTATCTGAGCTGAGAAAGGTCATATAACTAACACTCATCTGAGCTAACAAAGGTTATATAACTAATTACTATCTGAGCTGAGAAGGATTATATGATTAACACTCGTCAGATTTGAGATGGAAAAGATCATGTAATTAGCACTAATTTGAACTGAGAAAGAAAGATCGTATAACTAATTCTCAATTGGTCCATGCTGAGAAAGATGATATAACCAACATTCAGCAGGTTTTATGCTGAGAAAGATGACATAATCAACATTCAGCAGGTTTTATGCTGAGAAAGATGACATAATCAACATTCAACAGGTCCATGCTGAGAAAGATGATATAATCAACATTCAGCAGGTTTTATGCTAAGAAAGATGATATAATCAACATTCAGCAGATCCATGCTGAGAAGGATGATATAAACAACACTCATCATGGACCTGCTTAGAAAGATGACATAACACTCATTATGGACCTGCTGAGAAAGATTACATAATCAACATTCAGCAGATCCATGCTGAGAAGGATGATATAAACAACACTCATCATGGACCTGCTTAGAAAGATGACATAACACTCATCATGGACTTGCTGAGAAAGATTACATAATCAACATTCAGTAGATTCATGATCAACTGCCGGTGTGAGAAGTGGAGTGAAATTATCTACACATTAGAAAATGATATTACAGTTAATTTACAAAAGTAATCGATGTTATAATAACATGAATAATACTGTGTTATCAATTCTTACACTAAAAGAACCTGACTTAATTAAAATTGATAACAACTACAATTTGATTCACACCCTAACAGTAGTGGTATTGGGCGAAAGGACTCACCGGCACTACTAGATATATATGTTATACAGATCTTAGGCTTAACGATATTATGTTCTAATAAATACCATTTACATTTAATATATTATAATACTAAGAGAAGAACAACTTAAAACAATTATAATGACTTCGAGCATCAGAAGATAATTGATTTCATATTCGATAAAACGTTATCTTGACTTCAACAAAGATTTTATATCCGATGTTCAAACAGTTTTGTATTTCTGGCTCTTTAATTCTTCTGAATTATAGTCCTTCACTGTTCTGTACGTTACTAGTGTATTGTAAAGTCCTCGTCCTTCAGCTTTACTTATTTATAGTCCTTCACAGTTCTGTACGTTACTAGTGTATTGTAAAGTCCTGATCCTTCGGTTTTACTTATTTATAGTCCTTCACACTTCTGTACGTTACTAGTGTATTGTAAAGTCCTCGTCCTTCAGCTTTACTTATTTATATACCTTCACAGTTCTGTACGTTACTAGTGTATTGTAAAGTCCTAGTCCTTCAGTTTTATTTATATATAGTCCTTCACTGTTCTGTACGTTACTAGTGTATTGTAAAGTCCTGGTTCATCAGTTTTACTTATTTATAGTCCTTCACACTTCTGTACGTTACTAGTGTATTGTAAAGTCCTAGTCCTTCAGTTTTATTTATATATAGTCCTTCACTGTTCTGTACGTTACTTGTGTATTGTAAAGTCCTGGTCCTTCAGTTTTATTTATATATAGTCCTTCACAGTTCTGTACGTTACTAGTGTATTGTAAAGTCCTAGTCCTTCA